CACACACACACACACACGTACACACACACACAGAGTCTCCTTAGGTCCCCGCCGACAAAGGGCCCATAGGCTCCTGCAATGTATGCGTGGTGGGTGCCAAGACCTCATCTCACCAAACTGCAGGTTGTTTCGGGGGAACTCCCACTTCTCATTGTAGGGCAGCTGGGTGGGGTCAATGAAGGTGTAGCTGTTGCCCTCGTAGCTCTCGATGATCTTCCAGCGCACCTGGTACTTGGGCTTCTGCAGAGGAAGAGGGGGGGAAAGTCAACCAGGCCTGCGGGCAGATGTGGGATCTCATCCCCAACCCCCAAGAGCAGGGGGTGTGGGCAGTCCCAAGGCACGGTGGGAGGAGGCAGGGGTGGCCTGAGATGTGGTGAGAGGGCCCGGGTCATCCCATGTCCAAGGCACTGAGAGCCCCGTCCTTGACTGGTTTGGCCTCACCATGTGACCTGCCCTTCTCTAAGCCTTGGTTTTCCCCACCTGTGCACTGAAAGATGTGAGCAGGGTCACCTCTGAGAGCCTTGACAGCTCTGATAACTTGGTAATTCTCGAGCCAGGAGGGTGGGGGGCCCTTGAAGTATGTCCGTCCGTCCATGCATCCATCCCCCCATCCTCCCATCCAAATAGTGTCTGGGTTTATTTTTAATTGTGGCAAGGTGCGTACAACAGAAAATGTATCATCTCAAATTTCTCAGTCTCATTATTTGAGTGTACAGTTCAGTAATGTTCATTCCCACTGTTATGCAACCAGTCTCCAGAATTCTTTTCACCTTGCACGACTAAAACTCCTTACTCATTAAGCAACTCCCCTTTCCTACCTCCCCTGAGCCCCGGGCCACATATCCCTTGAATCTGCCTACTCTAGGTACCTCATTTAGTTGGAATCACACAGTATGTGTCCTTTTGTGACTGGCTTATTTCACTTAGTATAATGTCTTCAAGGCTCCTCCGTGTGTCAGAATTTCCTGCCTTTCTAAGGCTGAATAACATTTCCAGACAAATATTTCGCCAAACTCCTATTTGTGCCAGACGCCACGGATTCAGAATTAAAGAAGAGAAAGCCCTGCCCCCGTGGCGTTTGCATTCAGGGGGCTAAGACAGGCATTCAACTCAAATTAAATAGATAAATAGATACATAAATAAATAAATAAATAAAGAGAGGACATTTTCAACTAGTGCCATGAAGAAAATAAAGCAAAGTGATGGAACAGGGAGAGCCAGGTGCAGCTGAAGGTGTAGGGCAGGGAAGACCTGAGGAGGAACCAGCCAGGTGACTGACAGACGAAGCACTTTGCAGGTAAAGTCAATAGCAGATGCATTGGCCTGCAGGTGGGCAAAGTCCTGGCAAGTCCGAGGGACTGGCCGGTGCCCGTGTGGCTGGAGGGAGGTGAGGGCTGTTCCAGAGACAGGAAGGTCTTGAGCGCTAGGATGAGCGGATTCCCTCCTAGCTGCAATGAGAAGCCCTCGAGGGCTTGACGCCGGTCTTTACACGGACTTTGCACTGCGTTTGTGTTAAGCTAGAGGGAGAGGGAGAGGGCAGAGCCAGATCTAGGAGGAGGAGTGACTGCCTCTCTCTTTCCTGCCCAGGGTGGCAGCTGCTTGGGGGCATCATGCCAGGGGGTGGTGCCCAGGAGAAGTGCTGATGGAAGATGGGCTTTAGGTGGAAAGTGGAAGCTGGGCTTGGGCGGTGGAGGACACTGAGGCCTTGGGTCAGCAGTCCACCTCTTTCCGGTCAACCCTAGGGGACAAGGACCAGCTGGGCTGTGCTTAGCCGCTGGGCTCCTTCTCAGGTCACCCAGCCCAGGGGAGCTAAAGGGTATGTGAGTGGGTGTTGGGGAGGAAGGCAGCCTGTGGCTGCAAGTTGCGTCAGGTTAAGAGAAAAGACTCCAGATAGCTGTAAGGGAGAGCTTCCAGATGGTAGTTTGGGAGACGAGACTGCAGTTAGACATAAGGAAGAACTTCCAGGTTCTGATTCAGGAGACAGACTGTAGCTAAACTTAACATCCATGCTGTGACTTGGGAGGAGAGTCTGAAATGGGACAAAAGGAGGAACCTCCTGAGGCACAGAGGATTCAGGCCCTGCGTGTGGGTGCCTCCCCAAACCAAAACATGGAGAGAAAGCCGGGAAGGGATTCTTTGACCTCCCCTGGCCACTTCCGTCCCCGGGGGGCTTCTGTGGCCAAAGCTGTTTTTCCTCCTCACCACTTCTCCTTCTTCTGGCCCATGCAGCTGGGCCTGAGTCAGCCCCCTCCCCAGAGCTGCTCTCCGTTCCCCACCCCCAGCCAGGCAGGGGATACTGGGGAAAGGGAGGGGGATCACAGGAGGAAGAGATTGTCTGGCTGGATCTCACAGATCTCTGAATCCCAGACTCTACCAGGAGGAAGACACAGCTCTCTCCCCGCCACACCTCAGGCGTCCCTATCCCTTCCTCTTCTTCTGTGCCACCTTGGCTCCCCAGCGCTTCTACGTAGAGGGTCTCCTCGGAGGGAGAGCCCTTACAGGGAAGGCGGGATGGGCCACCTCAACCAGGTTTGCTAACGGGAGTAGTTCCAAAGAGAGTAGGGAGTGCTCCTTGAGCACCCCTGTGAGCTGCGTTCAGCCAAGCTGAACACTCAGTGTGCGCCATGTTTCTTATTCCTCGCGGCGAGCCCAGGCCCGGGCTCACCCCCACTGCCCCTCGGCGACTGAGATGGGCAGGGAGACATCAAAGTCCTGTGGCCCTCCCTGTCTAGGCTTGCTGTTTCTGGGCTGGTGGATGGTCTCTGTCTTAGGAAGGCAGTGACCTCAACATGTCCCACTGGAAACCTTGGAGACCCTCCTGTCCGGCCCCAATAGGCCTCCAGTCCCCAGAGGTCGGTTCTGACTCCAGAATCCCAGCTTGCACTCCTCCCTATCTCATCCTTTCCTCTTTGAGTCCCTCCTACCAGCCTGCTGACTCCTGACCTTTCCTCCTCCCCCTTTGGCCCCCCTGTGGTCTGGCTGGGGCCAGAAAGGCGATGACTCAGCCCTGAGGCAGAAACAGCCCTTCCCCCCACCCCCAGCTAGAGCCACCCCTTAGTCCAGGCTGAATTCTCAGTTCAGAGGCAAATCTCAGAACCCCATGGGGCAAAGCAGAGGGGAATTGGGTGGAAGGCCCTGAGGCAAGGCCAAGGCCATCTTGACCCCTCAAGGTTTTGTCTCATGGGATTCCCTCCTTTTCTTGGCCTTGGATGGGCTCAGGGGGCCGCTGAGTTTCCTGGATGGGAAATGAGGTGTTTCCACATTCCAAAAATGGTCCCATGGAGAGAAGATAAGGTGCCCTCAAACCAACACTGGCCAAGGGCGCTGGACAGCTCAAGGTAGAAAGGGCTCGAGAGGGAACTGGACCCTTCTCTGGAATCTCAGCAGGGGTGTCATGGGCTGAGGAGGCAGCTCTGTGGGGCACTGGGAGCAGTTTTCAGCTCTGTATAAAGAAGAAGTTGGCAATAATCAGAGCTGCTCAGAGAAGGAACAGGCGGCCACAAGAGTGAGTTAAGTCCTGTCCATAGAGGTGGGCGAGCAGGGCCCGCTGTGTGTGTGTAGTCAAGGAGATGCCCAACCTCAGACACCCCTCCAGTCCCAAGATGCGTGAGCTAACTCAGGTTCCCCAGTCAGCTTCCTCCTGGGACAAGGGCGGGCAGCTTCCGTCCTGAGCTCTGTCTGTGCCCAGCACCCTGCTAAGTCCCCTACCTACATTCCGTTGTTGAATCCTCACGACAGCCTGGTAGGGTGGCCGCCATTATTAACCCCATTTCACAGTTGGAGAAACAGAGACAGAGACACTCCCAACTTCCCCAGAGTTCTAATAGCTGGAGACTGGCAGAGACAGGACCCACATCTATCCAACTCCCAACCCCAGACTCTCAGGAGGCTCTTGGAATGTCAAAGGAAGAAGATGTTACCATGGTACAGGTGGGGAAACTGAGGACCAGAGTGGGCAGTGAGTCAGCCAAGGTCTCATGGCAAAACAGTTTTGGAGCTGGACGCAGATCCCTGAAGTCTTGGTCTGAGGCCTTTGTTTGCTGGGTGCTGGCATGAGCATGAGAGCTGACCCCATGGCCCCCAGGGTGCCCAAATATCCTGTCCACACTGCCTACTCCAAGCCCTCTTCTCATACTAAAACCCCCGAGGTGGGGAAGAGAAGGCAGCAGAGGAGGCCCACCAGGTGGTTATTCACCCCTAAATCACATTGCTCCCTTGTTCAAACCCACGGATGGCTCTGAGCCTACAGGATGGGGTCCAACTTCTTGGACCCCTCAACCTGCCCCACCTGCCTCCTCCCTCTTCCAGGGACCAGTATTTTCAGAACTCGCCTCTGTCTTTCCCCCCTCCCTCCCCTTTGCACACATTACCCTTCCCCGGAGATACCCTTTCCCTGAGCCTTGTCTCCCC